AGAGATCCGTCAGCGGCGATAGTTGCTGCAGCTCCAGCTGCTGCTGAACGGGGCTGAACAGGAACTGATTTAGCTGCTAGCTCAGATGCTACAGACGTTGATAGCTTTGTAACTCAGCATAAACAGACAAACGAAGCTGAAGTTGGTTTCCGATTCAAGCTTCCAATTCGGAAAATGGCTAATTTAATTTTTCGCCACCTTCCCCGTCTTTAATCGACTGAAGTTTAAAAACTACGACACCTAGATACTTCAAACCTGGAATGGATTATTCTGCTCTAATAGCAGACTATTTATAACCATGCTTGGGATTTGTGAAACTTCACTAAAGATAAGATTACTATTCACACTTGTTCCATGCAGTTTTTTTCAAATTAAATTCTATTTCAAAACCACTGTATTAATCCCAATGGGAAATTGAATCTTGGTGTAACTCATTAATTCTTCAGTTATTGTAGATGGTGATGGCTGTTGGAAGGAAAGATCTTCTGCAGCGGTCTGTTAAGTGGAGTTTCAGAAATCAGAAAAAGGTTTCACAAATTGAAATTGGAAACCAACTTCAGCTTCGTAACAGAAAACGTGTTTGAGTCAAACCCCATGACTAAATACTAGAGATGTGCCGATCAGGTTTTTTCCTGCCGATACCGATACTGATCACCCATGAGGGCCNGGTACCAGACTGGGGCCTCTGGACTAGTTGGAATTTTTGTAATTGGCATTTTGACTAGCATAGTGAGGTTAGGGTCTTTGTTGGTATGAGGTTTAGTCCTTGTCAAGCCTGTACTGATTGTGGTAGAAACAGATCAGTCTCTGGGAGACATCCACTGAGAGAGAAATCGTAGGACAGCCAACCGGTAAAATGGCACCAGAAAAATCCAGGTGCTGCCTGAAAGTCCCATAGTAGGCTGTTGTACATCCTTCTTAGCAGGTGGTTATGGTTGTTCCCAAAGGACTGGTAAAACCTGTCTTCATGAAGTGCATTCGTTTTTGGATTATGTTGCAATTTTTCTGCGTAATTCCTTCTGCTTTTCTGTCATCACATCTTCCCCTTTGTAGCAAATCAGTAATTTTTGATTGAGAAGTTAACACTGCTTCCCCATGCGGCTCAGTTGAATGAGCGCTGTCTGGGTGAAGCTTAATGAGTGAATTTACGCCTAGACTTCATTTGCTGTTTTTCACTCTGTGCTGTTCTTAACAGAAAAGACTGTAAACGCAGTATTAAAATACCAAATGATTCGTTAAGTTGAAAAAGTAAAACCAGTTTTTTTTATCATGCTTGAACACATTTTATTGAATTCTGACACATTAAATAACAGATGTTGTTTCATTGTGGACAATTTTTTGGAGGCTCAACTCCAAAATAAATTATTATGTTGCTTCCAAATTCGAGTCAGACTTCTTGGATATATTTTTTATGTGATGCTTAGTAATTAAAGGAATGAGATGTTTAGCTGAATCTGATGCACAATGAGAGAAAAACTGACAAAGTTGTTCAACATGTGATCAATTATGACACCTAAACACACATTCTGTGAAGACCAGGAGATACAAAAACTTCTTAAAGAAATTCTTCTTGTTTGGACTGAACAGTAAACAACAGTAATTAAAATCTGCTTGCATAAACAGCTTGTGTCTCAGTATTTGCTGTGTATGTCTTACTCCAACAGACCGGGATTAGCTCTGAACAGATAATGAGCCATTCATTTGATTCTGGTGTGATGGAGCAGGGATGCATCTGATGATCTGAAACTTGCAGATGGTAGCTCCTGAGGACCGGACTTGAGTAACCCTGTTGTAGCCTTTGGCTGCTGCTGAACACTGTTACCTTCAAGTCCTCTAAGCAGATCCACAGGGGTGTTCAGTAAATATGGATGTTTGCTTTTGATCTCAGAATAACTTTTAATTTTTACTGCTAAAAACAAGTAAAACAAAAAACAATATGATTGACAGAGGCCCTAATTTTTTTTATATTTATATAAAAAATAACCCTTATCTGTCAAAGGCCCTAAGACGTGTCCTAACTTTCCCCTCTGTATGCAAGCTAATATGTTGGCACTGAAATTTAGCATGCCTGCAGAAAAAGTGAAAGTGTTTCTTTTTGGAACTTATTGCACCATGTTTTATATGGCTCACCTGTGGTGCAACTACAGCAAGACTATGAGGAAGAAACTGGAAGTAGCCAATAAGGATGCTTTCAGAATCCTCCTAAAATTTTCACTATTAACATCTTCAAGTCAAATGTTTGTTATGAGTAACAAACCAACTTTTCATGCATTGCTGAGGAATTTCATGTATAAATTTATGCGCCACTTGGATGTAACAAACAACTTAATAAAACCCCTGACAACTGCAACATATATTAGATATATTTCTAGCTTTCTTAACTATTGGAATAATTGTTTATCTTCTTTGTGGTGTCTTTTTTTTACTTGATGATTTGTGCATTTAATTTCTTTTCTAAATGGCCTGGACTACTTCTTGTATCGAAATAAAGACTCATGAACTAATACAAAGTTGCTTTTTTTCTTCCCTATTTATCGCCTGACCACACTCCAGTTCAGTTGGGGGCGGTATTGCACCAATTTTGTTCTACATCAACCGCCAAGAAAACATCGAAGAAGAAGCCCGCATACGCTAAGCTAGAAACCTGTTGCATTGTCCCGTCTTAGCTAATATTTCAGCAACCATGTCTTCAGTTCAGCATCTCAGAGAGTTTATCAGAGAGCGACTAACTGCTGCTGCTCAAGAAATCTTCACAGAGGTTGAAAAAACCATCATTTGCTACGAGGAAGAGCTCGATGCTCAGCGCAGGATGATGGGGATCGACTGGAAACCACAAATTAAGCTACACAGAGTCGGTTCGGAGCTGCAGAGACAAAGTTCTGGTAGGTCTGGATAAAGGTGCTGATGTTTTCACTGCAGACAGAGATCCGTCAGCGGCGATAGTTGCTGCAGCTCCAGCTGCTGCTGAACAGGAACTGATTTAGCTGCTAGCTCTGATGCTACAGAGGCTAGCACAAACGTGTTTATGAGTCAAGCCCCCTGACTAAATATATTACTCCACTTGTCATTAATGGAAATGGAAATTTGGAATACAAGGTGTAAATTCTTCATTTATAATTTCAGACGTGACTTTGTAAATCAGAGCAGTGAAGAGTATTAGTAAGGAGACACAGGATGAGCTGTGTTGTTTTTTTTTCCATA